TTCGATCGACCTCTGTAGCGCAGTGGTGGCTATGTCGCTTTACATAAATGTAGTTATGAGTTTAATTCCGATCGGGTCAATTTGGAGAACGAACTTTTCTAAATTAGCTCAGGCGTAGGTGTTCTGAATTGTTCTCCCAAATGTTCGTTGCCTGGTTCTTCATAAAGTAGAATATTCTAGTTTATAGATCAGGTGATTTGTGTGATTTATTATTATTTTATTTATTTCTTTAACTATGGCATTATATAACTCACTAATTATACAAATAAAACTATAGCTTTACCGTCGATAGCTTATGAGTTATAATAAAATCGTAGACTAAGTATAGTACCTGCGGTCAAAAATATAAAACGCTTAAATTCATGTATAAATTTTATGTACGGTCCCTTTTAGGAAAAGTGGATATTTTATCTATAAGCTGTTTGCTACCAGTCGTGAGAAATGAGTGCCAATGGCCTTTATCCTTACATAATACATATCTCTTGCTTCATCCACTTTCGTAACTCGTTTCATGTATGCGATTCGGAGAATTTAGACTTTTTCCTTAGTAGGCATAAGTACTGAAAACTATACAAATCATTACTTGATCTATAAATATTCTTAAATATAAAAGGAGTTTTATGTAACATACTGTACACATTGAATACACGTGTTTACTGTGAATCTCTATCATTTATTCAAAATAATAGTCCAAGAACTATTTTTTATGACAAACAATGTATGTTCAGCAGAAGATAAAAGGATATACCTATAAATTACGTAAAATGCTCATAATAACATTGTTAATAAAAGCACAAACGAACATAAAAAGTTAATTTATTAATTACCGTAAATTCTCATGACCATTCTGGTATAATATGATGCTTGCGCGGCTGTGTGCCAGTTGAACCAAACACACGATGTATGTTAATAGGCGCATAAGATTGATTAATAGTCGAATGTAGAGATATTGTTTTTTAATACACCAATGGATTCACTACTTTCCATACTGTTACAAACAATTATACTCCATAAGTGAAGTTTTACCGTATCATAATAATACTACTTTACATAATACTTATTTATGCGTAAGAACAATGAGTCATTTAGTTAATTACTTATTATATTATAATGAAATTAATCTCAATTTATAATATTATTCTAATGTATGTTCTTTATGCAAGTTTATAATAATTTCTATTAAATTATTCCATTATAAGGTCAGAAGTAATGTTTCTATGGTATCAAAATATTTCAAGGTTGTCTTCTTTGTACTCGTCTATATTAAAAACAACAACCAGGCCAAATAGAGTAGATAACATTTAACTTTCGTAGATTATGGGTACACAATGTTAGCGTACTTTTATCAATCCAAATCTGAAATAGTCAAATTCAGTATAGAGCAGTCAAATATTTCACCGAATGAGCTAGCACCGCCTTTATGATTACATATTTATATATATACTTTTTGCATTCAAATTAACGGTTATATGTAGGTAGATGTCTATAATAGATTTAAAAACTATGACTGACATTAACGAGTTGAATCCTAAGGTGATTTCATACTATAAAGAAAAACATACAGTCCAACTCCAAGCACAAAAAGCACAAACTATAGCCAAACAAAATAGAAAGCTGCATGCTACGTCGGGACAGTGAACTTGTTTCCAAGAAATCAGGAAATGCGTATGTCTGTCTTAACCTGCTCCCACCAGTATATATTAACTATAGTATTTATTTATCAGGTAGATATACTAAGGAAGTTTTAGTAATCACTTCGCCTTCACCTTCGCAATTCAGCGGTATTGCACTTGCGTAATTCGCACTTTAATCGAATATTCAAACTACTCAACTAACTAATAATGCTGTCGTGCATCTATCAGAATACTTAGCTCTAATAACAGGTACTCATAAAACTACTAGCTACAATAACATGGATAGTACTATCGTGATTAAATAACAAACATCCAAACATAAATATCTCACAGAAACATACAAACTATGACTTTAATAGTTTCTTGAATAGTTCCTTGAAGCAAGATATCATAAACATCATCATCATCAACATCATATCAGCCGTTAATTGTTCACTGCTGAGCATAAGCCTTCGCCAAAGAAGGGGGTTTTGCCAGTAGTTGCCACGTTTGGCGGGCAGGTTGGCAACCGCAGTTAAGCTTTGGTGATGTTAGAAAAAGGACGCTGTTGGCCATCCTGGAGTCGCCTCTTACAACACCCACGGAAAAGGAAGCGATGCCCGTTCTATTCCGGGACCGCACGGCAATAATAATAAAAATACCTTGTTTTAAATAAAAACCTTCTAATACTAGTATTAACAATTTACTAACTTAGGAACAAACATAGATATAAAGATCTATACTTAGGTGCCTAGGTCCATTTCGTCTCCTAGATCTATACATACTAACATCTACTTTTGATTTCATGGAGACGATCTCTATTAATTTATATTATTGCAAACTCAATTAGAATACAAGTAAGGATTATCTACAAGTTTTCAATGTTTGGCTACTTTTTATAAATAGAACACAGTTTAATTGTTAGGTATTTAAGTACCTAATAAATTGTGAATGACTTTCCTAGATCACATAAGAGCACTAAACCTAAATTAATTCACTGAATATTTAGTGATAATTGTTTTGTTGTTGTGTTTGATGCAGTTATTCATTATCCCACATATCCACCATAAAACAGACTCAGATATACAAAACTATAAGTATAGCTTAGATTATATAGATAGAGCCTCGAGCTTCAAAAACGGGTCAACTTTTTGTCAGGTAATTGTTAAGCTGACGGCCCACCTGATGGAAAGTGGTAACCATCGCCTATAGACATGAGCAGTACCATGGACATAACAGAGTATACTGTTTCGCCCATGATACCCCCCATGCGTTGCCATTCCTGAGGACCCAATATTTATAAGGATAATTATAAATATTCACATTTTTTTTCGTTCGCGCCATATTTAGTGTTGTAAGTATGCGAAAACATTCCCCGCAAGTGTTTTTTTTAAATTTTTTTTTTAAATAATATTTAATTATTTATATGTTTTATTATTTGTATATTTTATGTTTCTTTTTACATAATATAAAATTTATTGAATAGGTATTATGCAGACTTTGTAATTTGACCGAATTCTTTAAAAATCGATATCTGAGGGTCCATAGACATATCAAACATAGATTCGATGTAAGAATTAATAAAAAATAGCCGCCCTTTTTATTTAAAGTAATATAAGTATTAATTTGGATAAGGATTAATAAAATAACATTTAGAAATTAAACTTAAGATAAAATACAATTAAATATTTTTTACATTTAGTCAACTTAATTACAATTAATGCACTCATATTTTCCATTCCCATTATTTTATATTTCTAAAAACTCGTATAATATTAAAATGGATCCCACTTCAATTATTTCTAACATCAATACACGTTTTATATCTATTATCAGATTCAGAGATATTCGTGTTTATAGAAATCGGTTAAGTAAAAAGTATTCCAAATGGCCGTTATTTTAAGTGACATTATTTATCCATATTTATAGTATACATGGATCCAAAAATACCAATTTTCAACTTTCACTTCAAAATTTTATTTTTTAAAGCAATATATCTACGCATTACTCTTAATAAATAAATAAATGATATGATTAAATATATAAAAAAAGTTAAATATTATAAAGAATTATTTAATATTTTAAGTTGCGACCTTCGCCTATTTACCTTAATCTATAGTAATATTTTTCAATCTGGTAATACTGTCGCGTACACAATTGTATGAAAAAGTTGACCGCTTTTTTTGAAGCATTTGTATGGAGACATTATATAGATAGTGTATATAGGTTATATAGATAATCTAAGATTTACGTGTAATTATTTGATTGTTACTATTGATGTCAGCCATGTTAGATATTTGATAAGATTATGCTATAACTATTGTTGTTTAGTTTCGTATTATGACTGAATTCTCTCTCTCTCTCTATCTCGCTTCGTTTTCGATTTCTATCTATATAGACATTCAATTTCCACAGTCAGAAGCCAGTCCTGTGGCTGTAAGTAGATAATGTTACAAAGACTACAAGTAGAGAATATTCATTGGCATCAATATTAGATTTTATTTCCTCCTACCTATAAAATAAATACTACATATTATAATTAATTATATTCAGAATTTGTAGAACATCCGTACTTGATTACAATGGACGAATTCTTTAATTCATTCGAATATTGCACTGTGACTTGAATGATTTTTGTTGTTTTGAGCAATAAAATGATAATAGGATGTAATAAAAAGTTTATTTACTTTTAAGTGCCTGTATAATATACAACTTGTTAACAGCCTGGTAGTTTTGTGTGACACGCTTGGATTATTATCACATTAGACATAACTAGCACACTATCTTTTTTACCAAGTGGTAATACATGCGTAGTACGTACTGACTAAAAAAAGAACTTTATAATCTATGACTAAATCTGCTTGGAAGTACTGTTAATCCCATTTAAATAAATAACACTCATTTTTCAAAACTGTCGCCGTTGCTGTAATTAGGTGTACTTGCTATCATCACTCACTGGTACTCTATCAGCGCATTTTGATAGAAGAAGAGTTACCATTCAATAATAAAACTCATTCCATTGTTGTATGGTATCATATAACCTTTCCCAAAAAATGAACTATTAAATGCAAAATAATTTTAAATCCTACTGGTAATTCCAGAGATGAGCGCGTTCAATCAAACTCTTTACTTTTATTATATTTGTGTAGATTATAAAGCTCCCAAGACTATAGACGTAATCAGGCCCTGGAGATATCATATGACAGCACCTAGATTGCAACTGAGTAAGGCACCGAACAAACACCTGATAGACATATATATATACATTATTTTGAAAAATATATATTTGGAAAAATATGCATTGTTCGTATACAAAAAATAAAATTCAATCTTAAAAAATTTGTGCATATTAACTTCAAGAATTGCTTAGAAATAAAACCAAGTACATGTTTATTATTTGTTTATTTAAAAAAATATCTCCAATTTAGTAAACGTAAAAACAATATTGAGGAAATGCAAATTGTTAAAACCTGCCCAAGATTTGTCAGCGGAGAACAAAATTCTCTATTTGTTCGCTGAGTATTTTCCACGCGGTACAAGCTCTTAATGTAAATCGCTATTAAATATTTTTACACTTTTCTTTGTTTAAACAATAGAATGCAATTAAGATAAATTATGTAACTCTACAGAATTCACATAGTAATTTGATACTATCTATATTTATCACAATCGATTAGAGTAATTATATTCAGTGATGGACACCATTATGATAAAAATTTAATGTTAATTTTATATTCAGCTAGTTAGGCTTACGTAAATTTGAAGCAATAAACTAATTCCAGAAAAATGCACATTTTCTACATTTACTGAAATTAAGGAGCATTAATCTAGATTTTACAAATATTGCTAATAAGTACAATTACTTGGATTACAGGTGTTTCTGCAATTGGTCGGCAATTTTTATTCAAATTTTGTCTTTATAAAATACATTAGTTATGTGTTAGTTAATACTGAGAATTGACCCTTTACGTAACTATTATGTCATCTGTACTTTTACACTAGAAACTAGATACCAAACTACATCAAACACATTTACTTTTTATTGTCGAAATTTATAATTATTGCTTAGTTCGTATATACTCCACTTGAAATATAATGGTATGAGTGTAAAATCATAAGAAAACGTGATTATTTCATTAGATATTAAGCAGTAATTATCATTGTTTACTTTTAAGAATAACAAATTATAATTTGTTTTTATTTCATGTCTCAAACTTACAGATTCTAAATTTAATCTTATATGATGTGCCAGATATACCATTGTATTTAAAATTTAGTATATAATATGGATATGTTAATTTTTTTTATAACACAGGGGCATACGAGCATGCGGCTCACCTGATGGTAAGTGACTACCGCCGCCCATGATCATCCACAACACCAACCAATGTTAATATTTAATACATGCGCTTAAGAGAAACACGTTATAACTCTGTCAAATCATCTGATATAGATTTATGAATGATTTGTAACGCATTACTAATACATAGAAATGAAAAAATCTTTGAAGTTATTAATATATATACAATGAATTGATTATTGCAATCTTTAGTAACGTAGTAATATAAAAATTCAGAATCAGTGCTAAGATAATATGTTTATATACTACTTCATCAAAAGGGCCGTTAGCGTTTGAGTCATTGTATCTTATAAAATTAACAAATTTATCAGATTATTTAACTTTTTATAAATTGAAGATTAGAGCCGACATGTCGTGCAATAAAATACAAAGTTTTATAATGATTCTCTGTAGGTTCTATGTCTTAGCTGAAAGCAAAAGGAAAATAATAACACGATACAAATTTATTCTGAATTAATTAATATGGCAATTTATTATTTTTCAGAAATTAATCTAATTTTTTTTACTGAATATTATATATTTGGAAGCCCATTTTTAAAGGAAAATATTATAACACTGTCCATGATAAAACATCGATGACAATGAGATACAAAGAATGCATAAATTGCGTTAAGAATAGTACAACGTTCAATATTAATATGAACTGAAATACATAACAGAAATAAATTTAACAGGTACGTTATTTTGTGATATAAAAGCAAATACGTAAATACTTAACAATTCTTTATCTAAAACTCTATAAGTACTTTTTTAAATACACAAGTTTAATTTGAGATTACCAAGATTAAGATGGAAAAGTGATTACGTTTTCACTGAGCATAATCTACAAGGTTTCATCAAGTTGTATTCTCATTCACTCTTTCTACAATAGGCACCATTGATTTTCAACATTTATATTACGTCTGAGAACTAGAAATCTGAATAAGAAAAGATAATAGATGAAGAATATTTTACTTATCTTAATTGAGAAAAGAAAAAAAAAACCGTACCAAAAGATCGATTTCATACACATGACTTTGTCAGACAGATGGTTTACATAATATCGTGAACTAGTAACTGATTACTGATATTATTAATATGGGTTATAGAGTCTTGACACGAATTATTGACTTGCCTCGCTTGACATTTTAAAACAGAGTCATAAAAAAAAAAATAAAGACCAATTGAGTACCTTCTTCTTTTAAAAGTCTCTTAAAAAGAATGAGACAATGTATAAATATTGAGGTTCACAAATTATATATGTTTGTTACAAAAATTATGAAAAGTTTTCACTAACTACATATTTTCTTTTAATAACTGTAAACTATCAAACAAAAAGAGAATATAATTATCATAATTATTACTATAAATAAAAGAAAATTAGTAGTAATATAGTAGCAGTAGTAAAGTTTAATATAACAATGATTAAAAAGCTAATGGAGATCAGTATTATATTATATATATATAATATATAATCATTATTGTTACTAATACATAATATAATCTCAATTGTACCAAATTAAATAGATTACTGTTTAATATAGGTATTAACATATAGTAAGTTGCTAAGTATTTAAAACATTAAATTACGTACTTATCGACCTCAATCAGAAATGAAAAATATAATAAAGACATTAACTTCATTGTTACAGTTATATTTGGAATTTTGGCGTCGTTATATCTCTACAGACGACATAAACATTTGAAAGGCACAATTTAAGATGCACGATTCTATTATGAGTGCATCATAACTTTAACTGTTTTGGAGTCTGAGGGGATAAACAATTTATCTAAAAATATATTTTTTATTTCAACAAGAAAACTTATAAAAAATACATATATATTTGTTATAAGTATACAGCGTATTGAATATTGGTTCTATGAGACTAAATTTTTTAAGTACAGGACAGCTATTAACCCTTAAATTGCCACTCATTGCTTTTTCTTATAATTTCATTTTGGTTCTTAGATATGATAAGCATAAAAAAGACAATGCATTTTAATTTTATGGTTATATGTTTTTTTTAATGTCATTTATAATAGACATTCAACATTGCATGTTAGTATATGGTAGCTTCAGAACTACCAACTTTATATACAATGTTAGTCATACATAAAAGTCTGATTTGAGAAACTAAAAGTGTGTAATTATAATCAAAGAATAACGAAAACGAGAAATACTACAAACGGTACCCTGTATATGTATATATGTCAACCGAATATGTGATATGTTAAAAAAGACTGAATTTAATATATTCTTAACGGAGAAGCTTATACAAACAAATTGATGGAAGTGGAGGAAATGATGAATTGTAGAATTCAGTGACTGCTTTTTGTTTGTTAGAATACTCCAGCTTACAGACAGGCGTGGAGTAAATATATGCAATAAAAGTTATCAAATATATTTGACAGTGACACAAAGCATATGTTTACATTTTTGCAAATAATTATAGATTAAAAAAATATCATGTAAAAGTAGGTCTATTATTTTTTCAGATTTGTCTGGCTAGAAATGGTCGTCAAATTGCCAAAATACGATTGATAAACCCTTTAAATAAACCAATATTATAGTACTAATTAAAAAAAATTGTCATCCAATAATTTATTTTATATTTTAAGTATTTTTTTTTTAATTTTTATGAAATTTATCAGAAGAGTAAACAAATCAGATATGTTAAAACTGGCACAGCACATTGTCGTATTTTAAAATAATGCCATGTCAACGTCCATCCACTGTTTTTGTTCACTTGTTATTTCGCTGTCTTACTATTGTACATTCTAATAAATCTATTTTACATATTTGCTGAGCTTAGATGTTACTTTCACGCAGGAAAACCCTCACAAGATATTTGCACTTGGATTGAATTTATTTAACTAATGTTTATCAATATATTTTTGCACAATGCTTCAGTGGATAAAAGACATCATGTTTTTGGCTTGTACGATAGGTTCTTTTTTCTGCTTGGTGTAAGAGTGACGTCCTATAAAGCGAACAAAATCAATTTAAGGGTTAAGACTGTTCATATCAAAGTTTGACAATATCTGCATTGTCTGAGATTTTTCAATATTCTAAATGATTATTCAAAATTATAGCAAATTAAAAAGTTAATTAGTGATTGATACTTTAGATTTTTAATTTATGTGCATATGATCTATGATTTGAATGAAATTTATGGTCACGAAATGGGCAGCAGCATCCCTCTTTAAACATCATCAAAGCCTGACTGAAATCCATACATGGCAACTACTGGCAAAACCCCCCAAAAGGGGAGGCCTATGTTCAGCAGTGGACAACTACGGCTGATATGATGAGGATGGTACATCTATGATTACCGTTTTAAAATCTTTAAATAATTCATTCATACATATAAAAAAATTCGGTATTAAATATTCAAAGGTAATGTAAACGTTGCTAGACAAATTTATAATAACTCCTAAATAAAAGGACTTTGAAAATATAATAAATTTACATTTAATAGTATTTAAAAAAAAAAGTGGAAAGCAACTCTTCTCTACTTCAAAAAAATATTGTTCTTACTATTCAGTCTTACTATAAAGATTCCTTCTAATTTGTTAATAAATTTCTAATATTCTATTAAGTAATTAAGACTTAGGGAACTGAGTAATTGAGGGATAGGCAGCAGCATCCCTCTTAAAACATCACAAAAAGCCTAACTGCAGTTGCTAACGCGCCAGCTAAACTTGGCAACTACTGGCAAACACCCCTTGTGGAGTAGGCCTATGTTCAACAGTGGACAATTAACGGCTGATATGATGATAATATTATTATGTTCCTTTTTTAACCTTAATTACTCTTTATATACGATGTAAAATTTCCACACGCATGATACGAGTATAAGTATTTTCTAATATCAATTAAAATTTATTATAGTACAGTATAAACATTAATGTAGTTAAAAGCAAATATATTAACAATAAAATTATAATATGCATAAAAATACGTCAACTTTAAATTCATATAATATTACGTATAAAAATCTATTAACTCTGAGAATACAAACATTAATGAGACAAATTAATATCTAATGTAAATAAATGCAAAATAGGAAATTAATTCACTAAGATCACAATTCATCTTTCACCTTCTCGTATTGTTTACAAAATTTAAGCATGTCCTCCGTAGATCTGTCTCCCTCATAGTCCGCTACATGTCTTCCTGATGCAAACATTTTGAAAGTAGGCAGCGTTCGGATGCCTGCTAAATCAGCCACTTTGGCATTTTCAGCTGCCTCCACAGCGATTACTTTTATTGGAGAACTGTCAGTCTTCAAAGTCGTGGCGAGGCGACTGAACGCAGGCTTTGCGGCCACGCAATGTCCGCACCCTAAAGTATAAATATATATATTAAAAACAGCCCTAGGCACCAATCATGGAGTTCACAAAGTATAGGAGTATCCATGCTCTAAAAGCGTGGATAGTCGCGTATCGCTGTCGAGGCTTTTCCAAAAGACTACAATATTTGGTTCTTCAAAATCAGGGTAAAGAGGTTTCTTCAGGGTCAGCAATGCGCGCTTATTATTGCAAACGTTCACAGGCTACACTAACCACTTACTATCAGGTGAGCCCTATTCTTGTGTGGTATAAAATAATCACACTACACTGTCTAGTCACAAAGTAGAATGAGCACTATGTCTCCTATCTAAATTAACATTATTAAATATCATACATTTTTATATAAATACATGCATATAACACACACAAAACATCCAAACAAATACAGACATTTCATGGATACAAAAATATTTATATTGTGTGCATACTGAATGTTCTGTGTCTCAAAGGATTTTTTTCTGACTTCTCCTGTATGGTTTTATTATTTACTAGCTGTTGCCCGCGACTTCGTCCGCGTTTCCGTCGTTTTCCGTAAAATAAGTAGCCTATGTCCTTCCTCACGGTTTAGTGGTTTTGATGAACAGACACATTTCCCTTCACTGCTCTGCTCCTATTAATCGTAGCGTGATGAAAAGTATACTATAACCTGCCCAAGAGTATGGAGAATAATTGTACCAAGTTTCGTTAAAATCCGTCAAGTAGTTTTTGTTTCTATAACGAACATACAGACAGACAAAAATTTTACTGATTGCATTTTTGGCGATCATTAATCACTCCCTGATAGTTATTTTGTAAATATATTTCATGTACAGAATTGACCTCTCTACACATTTATTATAAGTATAGATAGATTACACATCTATTTATTGCATAGTTACAAAAGATGTTTTATAAAATGTACATTTAATATGAATATAAAACTACTGTAAACTATTATTATTACAGCGACTCAATAGTTTTATATATATATATATATATATATATATATATATATATATATATATATATATATATATATATATATATATATATATATATATATATACACATCAAAAAATTTTAAGCAACACATAAAAATTTCAATTTTACAATGTGTTTTTGCATTAAATCCTTAGTATTATCTTATTTATATTATTTTTAATGCTTTTTTGACATTAAACAACAATTTTTTTTTTTATTTATTTTGTAATAATCTTAATTAACAATAATTACGAGTAAGTACTGTATGTACGTAGTACAAAGTAAGGTGCCTAATGAACTAAACTTAAACTAAAATTAAATGGTTGTACAAAAAATGCATAAATTAATACAAAGTGTGGCCTCCTCTGTTATAGAGAACTTGCTAGCACCTATTATTCATAGAATCGATGAGACTGTTAATGTTATCCTGCGGCAATTGCTCCCTATGAAATTTTAGTAAGTCCATCAGTTGTTGGGTTGTTGTCACTCCATCTAAGTCCTTTAAAACACTTGCATGCTCGATGGAGTTGTGGTCTGGCAATTGTGCAGGCCAAGACAATACCAGGATGTTTTCCCTTGCCAAGTACTCCCGTGTGTGCAAAGCTGTATGCGAACGCGCATTGTCATGCATCAACGTGAAATCGGAGCCAAGCGTTTGTGCGAATGGACGGACATAAGGCCTTAGAGCTTCCTCAACGTAATTTACAGCGTTCATGTTACCATTTACAAAAACAAGATCAGTTCGTCTGTTCTTCATAATACCCACCCATACCATAACTGTTGAGCTGTTGTATGGATGCACTTCCTGAACGCACCTCAGTCTTTCAGTATTTCCAATACGACGGTACACTTTTGCCTTTCTAGTATCAGGCTTGAACCCAAATCGAGATTCATCGCAAAATAAAATTTTATCCCATTGTTCCCGGGTCCATGTAATGTGTTCCCTACACCATTCATTTCGACGAGCGCGATTTCCGTGACGTATCGGTGGGCACCTAATTGGCCGTCGTGCTCGTAGGCCATACACATGCAGTCGATTTCGCACAGTTTGGCAGCTAACAACAACACCACTTGAATTTTGTAGCCTATCTCTCAGGCGGTTAACATCGGCTGGCATCTTGCAGTCAGTTGTATGTATCAATGCCATGTGGTTGTATACCTTCCTAGACCTGGATGCTGTTCAGCAGGATCTCTCGTGTTAGTGTAACTCTGATGAAGACGGCAAATAACGCTTCTGTTGACACCAAAATACCGAGATACCTGAGATTGACTTCTTCCCGCTTGCAACATCCCTACAGCTCTTTTCATATCATCTGCGTTCAAATGACGTCGCTCCATGACGTAAAAAATGTCTCAAAATCCAAATTTGTTCAAAACTTTTTTCTAATTATTGTTTAAATCATAAAATTTATACAGAATACTAAATTTTAAGTTACTAAACTTTTGAATTTTTGAAAATGATACTCGATTTTTTTTGACAACCAGCCAGTATGTCTTCTAGATCAAAAAAGTTTACATAGGTATTACCTACTTGGTAAGAAATTATATAATAATTTGAAATAGTATGTGTTGCTTAGACTTTTTTCAGCAGTGTATATCGCCCTCAATGACACTTCTTTTTACTCGTATTTAACTATAGGGCCTAGCATGAAATTAAAATTTCCAAGAAAATCAAATCAACTTACAAGTGGCATAGAACATAACAAATGTATGTATGGGTGCAGCGATGATCTGCTCAAAATCATCATCAGTGGACAACACGACGTTAACACCAAAGCCTGCGTCCTGATTGGTCTTAACTGCCTTCTGAGACGTCTGATGATTGTTCATTTGTGTATGTATAAATGAGACGAAATCTGTATCCTAAAATCCATAAAATATGATAAATATAAATACAATTCAAGGTTTCATCACTCATTTTTATCGCCACAATGTCAAAACTGCTTTTTACGAGATCAAGTAATAATTTATACTGGTACAAGAAAAATTCGAAATATTTTTTTATATTAATTCTCAATGGCGGGGCATAAATTATCACATAATCACACGTAATCATTTTCTTTTTATTCCAAATTAACACCTTAAAAACATATAGGTACTACACACACTAAGAAATATATGATAAAGCTATTACTACTATTGCACGTTCGCATAGCGAAAATATTTCCCCACTGATTACATTCTTTATGTATCCTTTGTTCTTGAGCATTAATAAAAGAGCTGAATATATATTACACAATAGCTGATCGTATCGTGTCAACATACAAGAGAAACAACATTTGTCGTCCTGAATAAACAGGTATGAAAAAGGACCCGTTTCATTGGAAAATGAAAATATAAAATTTTAATAATAAAACATGCAATGTGAAAGACTAGAATTTAATATTTTACTGAACTAGGTGTTATCTTACGGAAGACCATATTACTAGTTATTTGAATAATTTGTGAAACACGTCGCAAAAGGAACGTAAACAAAATGGCAATCGGAGACTGATGGCTAATATGGAAGATTGTAAAAATTCGGGTAGTAAAGTGATATTCAATCTTCAAATGTTGGCAGACACACACATACTAATGATAGCGTATAAAACATATTTATTTTATTTAAATAACCAGTAAAAGGTACTAAACAAAAAAAAATTCCAGTTTCACTAGTAAAATACTGAGGCGAACAATTAATGGTAGAGAGCGTCATGGTAGATATATTAATTTATGTAAGAGTTAACGGATCCGGTTCTCAGTTGGGATCAATTAAGAAACAAATGTTTCTAAATTAGCTCAGGTCTGAATATAACGAGTTATTCTCCTTTCATCTCTAATTATTTGGTATCTGATTTCTCATAATACTATAAAATTTTAGTCTGAAGATCTTGCACTCAGCACTTGATCATAATATTTATTTATATGAAAATCAGACCTACCTTTCTTCCACTCGAATAATCCTCGACTTGTTTATCGAAATAACTGAAGTATTTGATTGTAGGATATCCTTTAACATCATAGTTGGCACATAAATCCTGGTGTATGGTACAGTCAACGGCTCCGAACGCAACCCTTAGTTCATCAGCGAATTCTTCAGCGGCTTTTACGAATTCTGGCTTTGTACTCTTACAATGTCCACACCCTGCCATAAAATAAAACTTGAATTAAAATATTTTTTAAGAAAGATTTCTTATTCAGTATAATGTATTGAAATTTATATTTGACACAGGTACAAGGTACAAATAACAGTCACTAATATTCACAATTAAAACTTTAAATAAATAATTAACAATTGATTATGGTTAAAATCAGAGAAAAAGAAATAAATTTATGCATTAAATAATTTTATGATTGGACCTGACTAATTGTAAGTATACTTACAATTAGTCAATGACTACTGATTCTTTGAATGCTAGTTGTTATCACTTACATGGTGCGTAGAACATAACGAGGGCATGTTTGATCTTGCGCAGTGTGTTTCTGAAGGTCGTGGAGTCGAGGTGGCGCACGGCAGTGTCTTCTTCGGCCCAGGGCATCTCTGGCGGTGGTGGCGGCGGTGGCTCTTGGGGGTTCTAAACACAAAATTAACAATTTCACATTAAATATAACATTGTTTAACCAAGTGGAAATGGATTGTAAGTAATGGGGTTAAACAGCTCTATTGCTAACAATATAACCAATCAGGTTGACCTCCAAGCCGTTCCCACTTGAAATCGTCGTGGTCAATTCTTGTTGAATGGAGCAATGAATCAACTCATGTGCTTTCATCCTCAATCATCATTTGTCACTGGTGCCACACCAGTGTATAACAAGAGCACAGGCAAGGAGTACGTTCCATTTTTAATCATCATCACTACATAGTATAAAACAAAGTCGCTGTCGCTGTCTGTCCGTCCCTATGTATGCTTAAATCTGTAAACTACGCAACGGATTTTGAAGCGGTTTTTTTTATAGAGTGATTCAATAGGAAGGTTTATATGTATAATACATGCATAAAATTGTAGAGAAACACTGGTAAATTTAGAGGTTTCTAATGTGATGCCGTAAATAAACACATTTGGCGCTTACATTACTAACGCTGGCTGAACCCCACGAGATAAATCAAAATAATGTACTACAGTATTGTACACCTTAAAAAGGTTAACAAAAAAGTCCGCGATGGTATATGTCTATCTCTTATGGATAACCTACAATAACCATTTTTTTATCGAAATGATTTTAAGTAATACAGCATTAATTTTTATCCAATTAAGTATCTTAATTACATTGTCAATTTAATATAGATTAATATGGCCCTTTACAGCATGTAATTTAAATGAATATTTCCGAAGATATTAGATTTAAAATGCAGGGACATAGCGGTGCGGTGGTACCGGCGCAGCCGCCGGCGCGTGGCGCGGCCGCGCTTCGCTTTATAGCACTTTACCATATTTGTATTGTCTAATGACAAAAAAGCTGTAAACGTTGTTTATAAGGGCATTCTGTAGTTGGTAGGTATATTTAGTATCAGCATTGCACTCGTGCGAAGCCGGGGCGGGTTGCTAGTTTAAATATAATGTGCTGCTAATTCATGCTATATACTACAAAATACAAATGAAAAACTTGTCTTATACGCTCTTATACGTTCGGCAAAATGTGGGTGTATCGAATCTTACATTCACAACAGCAGCAGTAGATAATTGTTTCTGAAAAACTCATTAGTGAATATAGAAAAAGCAGTACCTTAATAAAGTTAACAATCTGGTTTTCCTGTCTCGCGTGGCCAGCATCGTATTTGTACTCTCCTTTATTAAAATATTTCAAAGTAGGATAGCCTTTAACACCAAACTGCGACGCTAATTCCGGCTGTTTTGTAGCGTCCACAGCCGCCAATATGCCCGTAATCTAAAGATGACAATAAATAATATTTATATAACAATTTAATGAAACATGTACGATCCAAAAAATCTAAAAGAAATATATAATAACTACATAGCGATTTAACCTTCTAGAGTCAGATTATGAATTATAAAAATAAACAGAATTTATTATAAATATATTCTTGTTCGCGACATTATTTGTATATGTGTAATTATAGCGATATTTATAGCAATGTTTATAGTTAGTTGTTAAGTTTCTAGTTTAATCGTTTTTTGTATTCTGTTATTTTATATAGATTTACATAGATTTAAGATACCTATAGTGTAAGTTAAATAAAGTATTCCTTTGTGTGTTGTCATTATTACCTACAAATAGAAATAGAAATTGTAACAATAAATAGAATTAAGAAATTGTAAATTGCAATAAATAAATAAACGCTATAGAGTACCGATCTGAAGAGACACGCGTCTCGTTCATTCTCGCCCCGTCCCGCTCGCGCAGATTCGCTAACGCGAGTTGGAAACGTTATCGTGCGAGCGGGCGGGTATAAAGATAGGCCGCCTCCCGTCGAGCGGCATGGGATCGGCCAGCAGTCGAAGCGACAAGAAGGGAAAGTTTGGCAGCAGCTTGGCAGCACTGAAGATACATCGCAGCAGCATCACCGCTTCGGCACCGCTACAACACCTGCGTGTGCGCCACCGCGGCAACTCGACCGAGCAGCACCGCGGCAGCGCCATCGTACTAGCAACGCGGCTACACCATCTTGTGCACCACCGTACCTGCTCCACCGTGTGCACCGCCGCACTAGCACCATCGAAGCGGTATCATCGAGTGTGCCCCGCCATCGCCTCAACGTCGCACCGCACGGATCCAGCGAACTCATCGTAGCCAGCACCAAGGAGAGAAGACGTTGTCTGGTGCGTTTGTTGTTGCAAACGTACCAGGCAACGAACCGGCTGTCATCGGAGCGGACAGTTGAGAACAGCCCACCCCCGCCTACCCAAGATTGAAGTCCATCCGGGGACAGGCATCCCCAGAATGACGGGATCGCGGACGACTGCTTGAGAGGACGACCTGTGAAGCAGAAAGAAGGGGAATCCGAAGAATTCGAAGAATGCCGAGCCCGGCCAGACGGCCGGACGAAAAAGGCCCTTATCAGGGCCACAGTGTACCATTACCGCAGGAGGGGGGCTCAACCGCCGCTGCCCCCCCTCCAGCGCGCGCCCGTGCGCAGCGCCCGCGTACAGCGATCTCCCCCTCGCGGGGGAGAGAGCGCTCCCGCTCCCGCGCCGCGCAACGTGCCACGGGTACGACAAACCCGCCACGCGACGATGCAACCGCGCCGTGCAGTAACCGTGCAGGCGTAACCATCCCTCGCGCCGGTTTACCGGCGACACTAGTGCAAGCTCAGCGCGGCGAACAAGTGCCGAGTGATAGTGCAAACAGTGTCACCAGTGCAAATTACCGGCATCAACAGCAGCATCCAGCAACGAGGACCACCACAGAGGGGCCCTCACAACAACAAGCCGCCGTTCCCCCATCGCCCGCATCACCGTCGCCATCGGAAGACTTCGCGGAGGCGGGCACCTCGTTCCTCACCTCGAGCGGCATGCCACCGCCGGGGGCGGCGAGCCTCTCCGAGTTCCGGAGCGGGGGTTCGTCGGGCGGCCTTTCGCCGAAATCAACATTAGAGCGAGACTCGTTGATTTTGGCGCAAGTGCTGTCCGCGGACCTCCTCTCCCAGGGAATGAAAGAGAGGATCGCCGCTCTGGTGGGGGATGAAGCGGAGAGACTGAGGGACCAGCCGTCGCCTCCAATAGAGGAGATGGAGCTGGCAAGAGAGATGGGTCGATCGTTCCAACTGGCAGCCATACGACCAGCCCGAAGGCCCAGAAGCCCAGATTCCGCGGCAAACGAGGGACACAAGCGTCCCTGCCAAGAGCCTTCACCGCCGCAGATATCGACTCCACTGCCACAGAGAGACCCAAGGCTGAGACCCAGGGAACTCCCAGTGCCAGCCCACTCACAGGGCCAGACATATGCGGGCGCAGTAAGGGCCCCTACGCAACCACCGGACATGACGAAAAACCAAGGCGCGGCCTCAAGCACAGCAAGAGACACTGCACCGCCTCCGCCCCCGCCAGCGGCAAAAAGACCCAGATTGCCCCCGCTAATAGTGGAATACCTGCCCGACTGGGTGCGCCACTTCAAGAACCTGAAAAAGTTGTTGAACTGCGCCCCGAACGCCCGCCCCTATGGCAAGGGGGTGAGATTCACCCCGAGGTCCGAGGATGAGTACCGTATCATCCAGAGGTACCTCTCCGACCTCGAGAAAACAGAAAAAATAAGCTGGTTCTCTTACCAACTGCCAGCGGAGAGGAGTTTGAAAGTGGCCATCCGGGGCATACCAGCCGACACTCCAGTGGAGGACATTGCCGACGCCCTGACGGAGCTGGGATACGTTCCTGAGTACATCCGTCAGATCAAAGCACGTCAGGGCCGCCCGGGGTGCATATTTCACGCACAGATCAAGCGCACCCCAGGCATCACCCCCGGCATATACGCTATTGATGAATTACTCTGCATGCCGGGGGTGAAAATCGAAGCCTGGCGGGGCAAGAACGGCCCCGCGCAATGCCACCGCTGCCAAAGTTTCAGGCATTCCTCCCATGGGTGTCACAGGAAGATGGCATGTGTCCGCTGCGGGGGTGAACACGTAGCCAGGGACTGCCCGCGGCCCAGAGAGGAGCCTCCGACCTGTGCAAACTGCGGAGAAAACCACACCGCTAACAACCCCGCCTGCCCTGTTTTCAAAAGAGAAATAAGAAACAGAAAGGCGGGCACGGCGCCCAGAACAACAGGCCAACTCGCCGGGCGAGATAGGACGCTCCCAGGCGGCACCAACGAATCCAACCTGATGGCCGCGGCAAACCCGGCTACAGAAAGAGGGAAACAGCTGCCTGAAAAACCCCGTAAAAAGAAGAGAGGCAAGAAGAAGAAGAAAGGGAAACGCAAAGACGCACCCACTGAGGCCGCGCCGACCAAGACACAGGCTTCGGCAAAAACAACCCGTCCGCTTGCGGTCGCCGCCCCCACTAAATACGAAGCCGCCACACAAAAGACCGCATCAAGCGCGGCGCCACAACACGAAAGTGTCAAGGGGAAGATGGCGAAGCAGCCACTGGAATCCAGCACCTCCAACAACAACCACTTGATGAGGGCGATGATTAACATCTTGATGGAGGTGCTAGTCGCGGTACAAACCGGCGCAGACCCCTTGCCGGTAATAACCGCGGGCCTGGTGAAACTATCGCAGCTAGCATGATAAGAATAGTTCACTGGAACGCGGACGGGATCCGCAAGAAGCTGCCCCTACTGAAACTGATGCTCGTGGAGTACAAAGTCGACGTGTGTCTCATCTCGGAGACGATGCTAGGGGCCGCCGACGCACTCCACATACCGGGATACCATGCATACCGCAAGGACGAGCTTACGGACGACCGAAGGGTGTATCGCGGGTTGGCTGTCCTAGTAAGGAGGAACATCGTCCACCAGCCGCTCCCACAGGTGCAACTTGGATCGATGTACGCACTTGGGATCGAGCTGTGCAACAATAGAAATCCCATCCGTGTGTTTGCAGTATACAAACCGCCGACAACGAAACTTGCAACGGCCGACGTCGAGGCCCTTTTCAAGGAGCCGCTGCCGACCATCGCCGCAGGAGATTGGAACTGTAAACACACGGCTTGGAACTCCAACATAATCAGCGCCGAAGGCAGAAAACTCCTGGGGATAGTAGAGAAACTGAATATCGCTGTGCATGGTCCAGAGGTACCTACACACTATCCCCACGACGCCGCAAGAATACCCGACGTGCTCGACATAGCCCTCTACAAGGGACTGGACAGCCAACTGACGCAGGAAGTCCTCTTGGAGGACGTCCAATCCGACCACCTTCCCGTGTGCATGGATATCCTGATGACCCCGGTGCTCCTGACGCCGCAGGCCCCGCGCCGCCGGACGGATTGGGGGAAATTCACGGACTTCATGCAGGACAACACGCCAACGAGGGCAATTTTAACCTCCGCCGACGTCGAACAGCTTGCGGGAGACCTGTCAGTCTCCATACAGGCCGCCATGCAAAACGCATCTCAGCCGGGAAAGGTAGCGAAAACAACCAATACCATCCCGGCTGCAATAAAGAGGAAGCTCGCTGTTAAGCGCCGACTGCGCAGAGACTGGCAGGCCACCAGATGCCCCACCACCAAAACGAGGTTAAACAAGCTTGCAGAAGAAATAAAGCGTGACATCGAGTCCCATAGAAAGGAGAGTTGGGAAAGATACGTAGAGGAAGCCGGTGACGACTGGAACAGCATTCATCGCCTGTGTCGCCGGCTAACAAATTCCCACCCCCCAGTCCGACCTCTACTGGCGAACGACGGAACACCGAGGTACCGCGCAGTAGACCGAGCGGAGATTCACGCGGATCACCTAGAGCGCCAGTTCCAGCTCAATCCATCCTCAAATAGTGATCATGTTGCACGGATAGACAACTTCGTGAAGGAGTACCTATCATCGCCACTATCACCTCACGAAGATCCGATTGTCTTTACACCGGGACAAGTGCAGCGTGAAATCAGAAAGACGAAGCCTCGGAAAGCCCCCGGCAGCGACAACATCCCAAATACGGCGCTGCGTCACCTGCCGCCGCGCACTATAGCGGCACTGACGCGCCTGTACAATGGAATAGTACGCACAGGGCATTTCCCAGACCACTGGAAGATAGGCAAAGTCATCACGCTGCCTAAGCCCGGTAAGAACGTACTGAAACCGGAATCATACCGGCCAGTGACGTTACTGCAACACATGTCAAAGGTGTTTGAGAAACTCCTCCTCAAACATCTACAACCACATTTAAAACCACGCCTGGAGCAGTTTGGATTTAGAGCGGAACACTCCACGACACTGCAACTGACCAGAGTCCTGCACGTCATAACGAGCGCCCACAATAAGCACGAGCACGT